CCAAGTAGCCAGCAACTTGTGAGCAAAGGGTAGATCTTTTGCCCACTCGCAGAAGTCCCGACACTCCTCCAGCAAAAGGTTTGATGCACAGCCAGGGGTACTTAGGAACATGGCAAAGGCTTGATGTTACTAAGAAACCTAAAGACATCTACAAAGACAGATATCACTACCTACAGTAGCTGTTCACCATGATGTCGTTGAGAACATGATGTTGGCTCCACCGCCAGGAGCGCCTCACACCGTAGCACCCAAGGGATCCTTCGGGTGAACACGTGCACATGTGAGGCTTCATGGCTGAAGCCAACCGTACCCGTACAGATACCGTTGGGTCCATCCCGAGTCTCGAAAACGGCTTCGAAAGCGGGTCGGAATGTGTGGCTACGGCTACGACCCGGGTCGTCCTCCAGGGTGCCCTCATTGGTGAAGTCACCGCAGTGGATGAGCACATCCTCGATACAGGAGACGGTAGTCCGCAACGGGAGACGGTAGTTCGGCCGGCTTCGGCTTCGGCTTTCAGGTTCGAAAGGTTTATGGTTGAAGCAGTAACCGCTCTTCACAAAAGCACAACAGGGTGAAACACCACGATCTGCCCAAATGTCTGTAAGGTTCACCGTTTCACATGGTTTCACCATGATAAATCTGCAGAAGTTGAAGCAGTTCTTGTGGTCGGGTTATGGTGAAACAGGTCGGATAAGGGTTTCTGATATAAGTTATGTGTCACCATGTTCTTGTTTTCGGGTTTCTTCCGACCCGTTCGATCGCACTCAGTTCCGGGCACCCGGCGGCAGCGCAAGCTGTCGGTGGAGGTTATGGGTATCCGAAATGGCCACCTCGGGCGACGCATCATGCGGAGGTGCGACAGGCGGAAGTGCGACGGAAGTCAAATCAGTTGGTTGGTGGTTTCAATGAAACTTAATCATAATAATCTCAGTCAAATGGGTTCCCTCATGTTCAATCAAGTAAAAGTCGAACAATAAATATCTGAAAGCACCAGCATGCGAAACGTGATAGGTCTTGACAGGTTGACATGTCCCAAAGTTTGTTCATATCGTTCATGTTGGGCTGAAGAAGCCGGTGGCTTCGGGAAAGTTTGGTGCGTGACCTACCCAACTTTGACAGGATCTTGTGAAGTAACAAACAAGTACTACGACTTGCTACTGGAATTCTCTGTGTTACACAATAGATTGAGATTAGTGACTGGTTGGTGGTTTCAACTCAACATATTAGTCAGTGGGACCAATCAATAATCTCGAGTAAAGGATAGTACAGGTTGAACATATAAATCTCAGAAGAATGAGTTGCGGGGGTGTGGGATCGAGGGCACAACTCGATGCAAGAACTTACGGGTTGTTGGAACCAACCCAGGACAAGCTTAAAGTCTGGGGGCATGCTCTTCCTAAGGTGAAAACTTATACAATATCTTGGGCATTGATCAAAACATGTGAATATGTTTATATAAACTCGTCTCATTTTGGGATGTGAGTTTGCTACGGTGTGTTTTGTTACATATACAGTACGTTTTTCAAACACATGAGCAAGTATTTTAGACACTGGTAACAACGCGGATTGGCAAATTGGGCACTCTTGCTGTCCGCAACTTCAGAATCGAGATTTCAAGCAGGGCGGTCGATCAAAAAGTGTCCAAAAGGGAAGGTCGAATGACGGTATGTATGTTGCATCCAGTATATATTGCAACCCCAATATATGGCACGGTATATGGTAAAATGCTGTATATAACCCCGGTCGAATGATATCTTCCACCCAAAAGGAAGGAACCGGCTCAACGCCCCGGCTCTGGACGTCGGACCCGCCCCTCTTTTCGGACCCCGGACACATCGCAGGACCGTGGACGAAGCCGCCTGGAGGTGCTACCAACCGAACAAGGAAGCGACCAACGTAGCTCCTGGTTCTTGCCACCAACGTAGCAAGAAGCTACGAACTGTCACGGGTGGCCAAATGATCCAAATCATGTACATCCCTGGGTGGGGTGGTGGGCGCATGTAGAGATTGGCTAAGCCAGGCTTGATTTGTGAGGTTTTTGTTTGCGAACAGTCATGGTAGTGTAGTGTCCTTCTCCGGAGTGTATAACAGGGATGACTTACAACACATTGACAATGAAACACACACACACACACACTTCTGTCATATAAAACAGCTGCCATTGATGGTAGTCAATGATCTCCCTGTCAAATGCTTCTTGCATATCAATCATTTCTCTCCACTGCATGAGAGCCCTCCTGGACCGCGAACCCACGCTTTACTCACGTCGGCTGCCCTCTTACCTGTACTAATATGTGCATTTTTGCACATATGCATCATCTAGGCAACCAGTCACCCAGTGATCACAGGTCCTTTGGTTCACCAGTGGTGATTGGACATTGAATCCAAATAAGAATTTGTACATGACAGGTCCACTTCTGTCGAGCACACCTTGATCAAACAGTTCCAATACAAACTTAAAAACTGGCCTACCCCACTGCTCCTATATTACTTCTATTCTTACTGCTACTACTACTACTACTACTACTACTACTGGCGGCGCTCTCATACAAAAGACACAACTTCCCATGTAATGGACACGGGGAGACATTCTGCGAGAGTCCCCATCACCGCGGGCAGCGCCACAGGCGCAGCGGACGAATCTCCACACCAGACCTGATACGACTGCGAAAGGGTTGAGCCAACGAGTGAGGCAACGCAAAGTAGACAAAGCCTCCGCAAAACCACATGTAGGTCCTTCAAAGTGTGTTTTTTTTCTTGAAAAGTATTCTTGAAGAAAGAAGTATGCTCAAGAAAAGATGCTCAAAAGCGAAGATGCTCTTCAAAGTATTCTTTTCTTGAGCATCTTCACTCTTCCAACCTCCAGCAAGTGACCAACATTGAGATGGGAGATCAGTACTCGACGGGAGAACCCGAACTCGAGTATATCGGTACGTTTGCTTTTCGTACTGGACCCCAATAACGACGTGGGTTCTAGTATGATATCTATATATAGTTATTATTAGTATTAATATATATATATATATCAATTTCGAATCATTTCAACCACTGGGTGCCCGGGAAAGACACCGATCCAAATTCGGGTCAAAACTAGCAGCTGTTGACCTACCGCTCATGGGATCTTGGTGAATAACTGCTTAATCAAATCATCAACGACATGTAGTGCAAAGTCACGTCATGTTCAAGGGACTTTTGGGTGAATCACAAGTTTCGGCCTCCCTCATCTTGCTCGTGTGGAGCCGACGACCAACCGCGGGGCACAAGAGCCGATCCTTTCTCATCCTTTCTCTTGTGTTGGAGGTCTACTCGCTCCAAAAAGGCTGCCAGTCATAGCCAACAGCAGGATAAGCTCGGATTAGCCACAGTTTCCAGGATCTTTAAAGGACAACCTCGAGGGGCCTGGCTCATCCGGCTACTATGCTTGTCCTCACTGACTTTTGCAGCGGACATACACTGCTGACACCACGTTGCTTGCAACGCGAGACATGGTTGACAGCTCGGTGCACAAAAGTAACTCACAAACTCTTACTCTTCTGCATCTTCAAACCACTTTTTTCCCAAAAGGTTCAAAAGGGCAAGAGACTGGGCTTGGGCCAGGAACATGCCGGATGTTCGAGCAGTTCATATCCCTAACTTGATCCACGTATCTGCATATACACAACATTACACAACTACTGTATGATATGTAGAGTGCGTTTCAATTCAGTTGAGTGGTGCGATGAACAATATCGCGAGCCGTTTTGATGATACGTAGAACGCGCAGTCAGAAGGTAGGTTTCCTCATGAAGGGGAGCATCTTCAACTTTCAATAGTACCACTGGACGATCCTGGATCACTCATTTGTCATGTACTTTGGTCGCGAAACAATTCCACAGGTACTTGCAGCAGAATCCGTATATGTATATGTCTTGGAGAACAATTTGTTTGTTGTTCGACTACCAACGACTGGCAGGCGGAGTCGAGCTATTCGCGAGCCATTGGGGGAAGAAGCAACCATCTTCTTGTTTGGGTCTAAATGGACTTCTCCTTTGGATTGATTGGTTTGTCTTTCACCACATGACTCTAATACACAGCGATCTTAATGCAATTTAATGCATCTCCGCACTAATCTGTGATGGTCTGGGTCAAAGTCTAAGGTAAATACACACTTCAATCAAGTCCACCTTCACGCCATTTCACACCTGCGCAAAATTACAAACCCACACATGTCATGCGTGTGTGACTATGCTACGTTCAACCGAAATCGACTCCCAGGCATAACAGTTGGAAGGGAACTAATTACCAAGACTTGTGGCTCCCTGATGGCTATTTCTGATGCGCCCTGCCTTAGACAACCTGCCACCCTGGATATATTTGATATAAATATCTATTACATAAAGGATGGTTACATCCACTTTTAGAAAACTAAACCAGCTCACTGTCACACGGGGTCAACTGTGTCATGTTGTTACTTTGTACTAGTAGTATTTTGTTGATTATATATAGTGAGATCATGAATGCTGCCATCTCAGGCAACGACCGCAAAATATAGTAAAGTGCTTTTCAAACTATCCTGCTAAAAAGTCTGCTAAGTCTTGCTCGACAAATCCCTTGGAGAAGCACCAAACGCAGCCCCAAACACAAATTGGAGAGGACGTGACTAGTCTCGCACCACCAAAGTGTTGTTGACCCAAATCTTGTTTTCAATATCGATTTATTGAGGGTGGGCTACACACCCACCCACTTCAAGATGACTATTTTTTGGAAGGGAAACAAGAACGCAAGGGTAATTTGTGCCTATGGGCCGGGGATCTAAGGTAGAGGGTATCATTTCTGTCCAAGCTCATCTCTTGCAGGCCTTTTTACTCTAAGAAGAAACACCGTAATAATCGTGAATTATTCTGAATCTATAAATACTGTATATTGATACGGCTATAGCTTACCCACGTTCACTTGCTCACCATCCAGCACCCTGGTTGAAACAGCCATCGTCCAAAGCACTGCTTAGCCGTGTGCAGCACTCATGACATGCGAAAGTTGAAGACCAAGGACTGGAAGGGCTGGAGAGTAAGGCCGCCATTATTCGTTTCCAAAGATTGTGAAGCCCCTAACAAGCGACGCTGAGAAGTGTACCCTTTCCAAACACCTCAGTGTGTCAAGCGCCGCCGAAGGGTCTTGCAGGCAAGGGTGTTGCTGTCCCAAAAAGCTGGTGAAAGGTCAATAGAAATGTCAAGAACATGGCCGAGTCTCAGCCATGCTTAGCCCAAGTAAACAAGACCAGTTGACATTCCCTACCTGTTTGCCGTCCTTTCAAGCCTCCAATAGACCTACAACGCAGGTCATGTGAGGACTGGGATCTACTACTCGACCAGTCGGGCTGTAGCTGGGCGTCATGTGGCACCGATGCCAGGAGCCCCTAGTAGCGTCCTTGCTCCTAGTAGTAAGGCCAGCAGCCCCTAGTAGCTTCCATCGTGGGCGAATCATCATCTCAAAATGATCTTCATCGTGGGAGGGTCCTTGATCGGGAAGGAGATGGTGACATGGTCAACGAGCAGAGACCTGGAAGTTCCTATCTCACCAAGCACCGCTTGACATGGGGCCAAGCAGCTTCATTGGCCCATTCAAAATGAATTCCAAACTTCTTTGGCTTACCGAACCACAGCCATCGGTACCTTTTTTTCAGTCCGGGCCGGCGGGCCAGCCCGGACTGACTCCTCATCCTTCGAGACGTATACGATCACGACGCTTGTCGTCGCGGACGCTTTTGGGCGCACGCGAAAGTCCACCGATCCGAGGCACTCACGTCAATGGCGTTCTCCCCTGTGTACGATTGCACCAACTCCTTGACCTCGACGGATCCGAGAGGAGGCACCCTCGTCGTCCGAGAGCGATCAGCTCTGAAGAGGATGAAAATCCTCCGAAGCTGTTACAGTGTCTGTGTCAGGATGTGGGGGAGGGCGTCCTTTACTGAGAGATCTTCGAGGCATGTGATTTTGAGATGTGCAAAGAAGGGATCAGTGACCCAGTTCCCTAAGCCTGTAAAACATTTGACTGACGTGGACCGTATGTATACTGTATATTATATGTAGAGAGAGAGATCGATCAAACCTACCAATCCCCGATCAATCGTTAAACAAGGAATTGGCTTGAAGCGTGTTTGCCCACAGGTTTTGTGAGTTCATGCCCAAGAGATGCAAATTGCTATGTAGTTTTGACCACAGCATCCATGATATCACCAGTCTGCGAAGCCACAATTTCAGGGATTGCAAGGGTCAAATCTACGAGGCTGGCTGCTTGCCTGGGTGCTCCATCAACATCAGTGGGGTACCCAAACTCAAACAAGAAAATGTCTCAAGTGGAAGGCACAGTATTTGTAAATTGGGGAAAGCATTGACCTTGAGCCGTATGAAACAATGAACCATTCCACTACTCTGGCCAAGCTGGCTATAGTCAACGCCAGAGTAGCAACAAAAAATAGTCCTAGGGTTCTAGGTCCTATAGGGTACCAAACACTCATCGTTTTTCCAAGCCACTTCGGCCAGATCTTCAGAATTTGGGCTCCCTTTTAGGAAGAGTTGCTTTTCGGTGCAACCACTGCAACCGCTGCACTCGTTCGTCCCACATCGATGTCCACTCCCATCGACCGCTCGTGTGCCCGCAAACAAAACGTCGACCGCTCCCAGTCGCCCGTGACTTTGTTCAGTGTCCATCCAAAAGGGGATGACCCAGAAAATACACACCGTCCAATGTGGATGCACAAATGTGCGACACGCCATGCGCTTCGTGGTTTAATGAAACCGCATCTTAGCCTTTTGACCGGTATTCAACCTGCGAGATGCCTCTCCACAAAAAAAAAAAAAATATATAATTGAGGTTCTGTCTAAATCCATGCCTTGCCTGGAACATCCCCCAAGGAGCCAGCCAGCCTCCCTTGTGTGGTTCGAGCACGAGCACCATGCGGCTGAGAACAACAGATGAGACGAGCGAGTTCGCGCGAACAGAAAATAGCCACAAGCACCATATTGCTTTCATTTCAGTTCCCTCGTCGGCAGCTTTTTGGACCCAGCGGTGCCCGAACACGAACAGACCCGACCTTCAACCCGGTCTCTGGTCTCGTCTCGGTCGTGTCGGTCTCGTCCGATCCGACGTCAGCCGGGCAGCATTCAAGAGGGTCATGCGGGGGAAAAAGGTCGAAGGATTGATGGGACTGCTGCTCGTCCACTGGGGATTCACCTGACACCACGCTCCACGCTCAAAAAGGACCGACTGCGAGCGAGAGTATTTGCGCGATCAGCAGGCTGGGGCTGGGGAGGCGGGCTGGGGGCATAAGAAGTGGAGTTCGTGGCAGTCTGGATGTTGGAGATATTTGGAGATACCAGAGCGCCTGGATCTTGGAGATCTCTTATAGACTCTCCAAAGGAATTCGTGGAACATCCTTCTACAAGCTCTGATGGCCTCGATGTTTCATTCTTCGATCGAGGTTCAGCAGCGTGATTGCTTCAAAAACAGCTTCTACCCTCCCAAAGACTGACTGTCCTAAATTCTGCATCCTAAATCATAGACCGATATATAAGACCCCAAACTCACCCCCATAGTCTCTATATCCGTCTCTAATTACAAATTATGGTGGTCATCAAGGGCAAAGCTTCACCGTGTGGTCACCATATATCCGGCGGAGATCTCAGGCGGTTGGAATCCGACTCGTCCAAAAGGGCGAGAACTTCTTAAGCCGACAGCAAAGTGCATTGAAGGCCCCTGGGACAAGAGGATGGCACCCCGACCTTAAATGGCAACCACACCACGTACCGGACTTGCAAAGTCAAGTTGCCAGGAAACACTTGGCTTCTTTGAGGTCAAGTCTTGGCTTCTTTGAGGGTTTGTAGCTTTGGTTTTGCTATACAGACAGACTCGAGTAGTTTCTTGCTTGTGAATGGTGAGCAAGTAGGAGGCTGGCTGGCATTGAACAATGTGATCTGATCTGATCTGATCTGATAATATGTGCTGACTTGCCAACAAATAACAACCCCGGTCGCCTTGTATGTCCAATTCAGGTCTTCGCCAAGTTTTCTCTTTTGCCCTATCTACCGCCTCTTCATTGAACCCCCGTGCCATCCAAAGTAAAATTGAGTGAGCAGCCCAGAAGGTGGTGGTTGTCGCCTGGTTCCTCATGTTCTCAACAGAAATGAGACCGAATGAGACCATTCAACTTCCAAGAACCTACACTTCTTTGAACCCCCACCAGCAGCAGCTTCACGATGTCCTTCCCTTTGACCTTCCAGGCCAGTGAATAGACCTGTGCCGCAGCCAGCTGGTTTGCACCGTTCTGGGAGGGCTGCACCACACAAGCGCCGGCAGCGGTGCGGAACAAGCGCCAAAGGGCCCCCATGGGCGTTGGACGTCCATTGCTGAAGGCGCTCCTGGGTCTCAGGAGTGAACAAAAGACATGCCACATGGGCCACATTTGTATCAGAAAACGGAAAATTGGGTAAAACGGTGTCCCCTTTCTGTGCGGTTTCTTGCTTTGTCTTGTCCCTGAAACAACCTTGCGAATTGTCAACCATCTTGGAAACGGCACACTGTGTTTTCTCACACAGTTCGGTCGTGTCTTCTTCACTTCTCAAACGGGTGTCTTTTCAAGCTCATTCTTCAACCCCCCAAACTCAACAACTTGGGCCTTGGGTTTCTGATGTTTGATCTTTGAAGGATACTATACAACAGAAGCCTACTCTGTATATCGAACAATTGTGGTGGAGTGGAAACTAGCCAACACACGTGGTCTTCCGAGCCATGCTATCAACTGTCTAAAGCTTTCATATTGTGATGTAGACAGGCCGTGGTCATAAACCAGGAAAAGCAAAAGGCGGACGAAATAAGCATCTCCCCAGGCTCCCCATGCCAGACATTTTAGGCCCAAAGGAGCACATGTTATTGGCACACGCTCCAAGGTTGGTCACCTCGCCCAGGTTGGCCCGGGAGCAGCGTTGGTCCCAGGTGCCCTGCGGCAAATAGGAACCGTTGAGGTTCCACATGAGGACATCCTTGGCAGTCGTGGCGCTTTTTGATCGGAACATGAGATGCAAGTGGCGCTCAGTGGCGCTCAGTTCGCTGTTGCCTCTCGAAGATGGAACGCTTGGAAAACAAACGGCCAGTGCGCAAATCACACATGGCGACCACAAGCATGCTGGAGGGAATCTACTTCTGGTCCTTCACATGTGGTCTGCCATACAGGGTCCTCCTTAGCGCATCGGGTTTGTGGACTGAGACCTGGAGGGAGAGGCGTCCACGTTGAGGCACACGAACATGCACATGCACCGGATGCAAACAGCGACCAAAATAGACTTGGCCACGGTGTCTTGTATTGTGCTTACGTTTGGGAGTGTCATTCTCTCTCTGTGTGTGTGCCATTGTTTGTTGTGGTTGTGCAGGCTATTCCTGGTGTGTTGTCAAGTATGTCAGGTGTTGTGGTTGTGTGGATGTTGTTTTCCTTTGTTTGTAGTATTGTTTATATGACTGTGTTTGCCCTCTGTTTTTGCGTGTTTGTCCCATCTTTTGTCCCATCTGTACTGTCACCTCACGGCCTGGACGGTGGATTGGCGGTTTCGCTCGCTCGCTAGGGGGAGAGGCCAGTCACGCGGTGTTCTGTGCTTTTGGCGTTCGCGGCAGTATGAGTTGTCTGTGTTTTCTTGTCAGTTGTTGGTGTTGCCATATGTGTGTTGTGTTGTGTTAATTATTGCGTCTTGAATCTCTGCTGTTGTGGTATCGGCATCGGTGCTATTCTGTTTGGTGTTGTCATTATGTGTTGTCAGTGTCATGGATGGTGTGTTCCATTCTTTTCCATATTGTGGCGTTTGTCGTTGCACTGGGTGATGCAATGCAGCAGCGAAGGTCACGATAGGGTGAGTTGTCTAGTAACTATTTTATAACATCATCTAACTATATACCTCAAGTGAAAAAGAAAACATCACAAGGACCACGGAAGTGAAGGCGGTCAAACAATCTGCATGGCGCTACATGGCCATTTTCGGAGTGCTGACTGGTTCCGCCTCATGAGATCAACAGGACTTAAAGACTTGTGAACCTGATCGAACAACGCGACATCGCCAGTAAAGGACCATGCCCTGCGGCACTGCGTAGCGTGGGCGAAAGTGGGTTCGTGAAGAAATCGGATCTCCCTCTGTGCCAGTGCCAACAAGGTGTTTCCTAAGGTAACCCCGAATTCCAAAAATGGCCCTAAATCGTCCCCAATTCCATCCGCTATCCGCCTACCAGTGTTGGCTTCACCGAAAGTTTCACCAGTTGCTCATCGGGGGATGTCCCAAACTGGGTGACACAATGAAAATGGTCAGAACAAATTGATCAGCAATGCCAGGCATCACGAGGCGTGCATCCTCAGATGGTTGGGAAGAAACATGTTGCTCGTCGATCCTATGAATGCGCTAAAAGGGTCCAACGTCCAACCGTCATTTGCTCGTAAAGCATCGTAAAGCAACAATCAAAAATGAAGACATGCAGTGGAGCAGCACAACGCATTACCCTTCCACTGTTACTTAGGAACAATCCTTTTGATGCTTTAGTTTAGAATCAGTTGTTCCATTGAGTTATAGTTACTAGTGGTCACCATGGCGACATAGCACAAAACAAACATAAAACTAATCCATCCTGTCGTAATCAAAACAAATCCAACCAACCAACCAACCAACCAACCAACCAACCAACCAACCAACCAACACACTGAATTGTATTGATGCTAGCCTCTAGCAGATGAGTGAACGGTCATGTTGTATTTGTACGAATGTGTTTTGCTGCCATTGCCTAAGCAAAAGTTTGGCTGCGCCGAGCTTCTCTCACCTCAAACCCTCGGCATCAGTTTTGGAGCCACAAGGAGCCACGTACGAGCTCTTTGAGTCTAAGTGCCCACCAAATTGAGATAAATGGGGCACCACACACACATACACACACACACACACCTGACTTGACAAACCCTGAAGGATTTCGACCTGTGTGGGCATTCCGGGAGTTCTTCCCATCTCTCTCTCTCTCTCTCTCTCTCTCGCTCTCCAAAACCTCTTCTCGCGAGGAAATCCTCGCGCCGGGACACCAGCAAAGCCAGTTACTCCATGGGTTTTCATATAGGCCACCGCCTTACCACCATCATCGCCCTTCACAAAGACGCCTGAAGCCAGAAGACGTGGGTGCCGGAAGACGGATGACTGAGGGGCTGAGGGGTATAATGTCGGTGCAATAGAGGGGCCAAATTGGAGAAGCGAAGAAGAAGAAAAAGAAGAAGAAGAAATACAATGATAAAGAAGAACTATAACATAATAATATATATATAGATATAAGTGGAGGTTAACAAACCTTTTTGGGGAGATTGTTGTTTGGGAGCTTCAGGTGTCATCCATGCCATTTCTATACTCTGCTTGGTGAACAGAATTGAGTTAATGAGCAGGCATATCAACCTCCTAATAGGTACCATGGTTTGGTGCACCGACAGCGCAAGCGCTCTCCTCTGCATTCCCAACCCATCTGCAGGCAACTCCCGCGGCGGACCCCCAACTGGGCGACTCCACAACTACTCCTGGCAACCGCCGAGCCATGCCCCTTCAGCCGCGCCTTCAGGGCTTTCAATCGCATCCATTACAAATTCTGACACTTGCGACGCTTGTGGCTGGCACGCTGGGTTGTCGGAGGTCCAGTTGTAGGGACAACCCAGGGGGAAACTGTAGGGATTGCCAGGCTCAAAGGCTCCATCGCGGCCTGGAATCGAGTGGAATCGAGTGTCACAGCGAGGACAGGCTGGGGTTGAACAGGCTGATTGATCTCAAAGCAAGTTCGATCTGGCGTTGGCCAAGTTGGATGTATCATTAAGTCGACACCCGGAATAAGGCTGCCTGGGGTACTGTCCAGTGTCTTGACATCCCAGTGCGAAATCAAATAATGATCTAGTATATACAGAAAAGCAGCAAAAAATGCAAACACAAACCGTTGCCATATTAGTTTTTTCACCCGCGCATTTCTGCCAACCTGTGTAGATAAAGGAGGCTTGAACATCCCAGTTCACCATCTGCACCAGCTTGGCAGCGTTCTCCGCCGCGCCCATCACCGAACCCACGAATTTGGTCTCATTGCCCAGCTCGAAGGGTGCGTTGTACCTCGGACAGGAAACCGTCCCGGTCGGCCCGGTGGGTCGGTGCCTCCAGGCCCACGGAATACAGACTCCGACAAGGATCGAAACTTTCACATGGAGTCAGGTTGTGCCTTGATGTCAGTGACTCCTCTGGAAGCGCAGCAAGAGTACTATTGGATTGGACGACGAACAAGATCGAAAGACTGAAGAGACAGAGACCTGTTCTGACCTGTTACAATGGTTTTACAGACTCCGTCAAGAGGATGTCTTATCACCTCAAACAGCACCCTGATCTGCAGGAGCAGTATCAACTCTGCAAGGGGCACCAAGAGAAAAGAATATTCTTCTATGACGTATACTTGTTAGACCCCAGTGTGTCTGAAAAGGCTGTCCTGAAAAAAGGCACAGAGGATACCAATGACATCGAAGATGTGGTAGATGACTGGATGACTGCAGAGGAGATTGCAGACCACAAGGGTATAAAACCACACTCAGGAAATTATGAGCAAAAATGCTTGGCCTGTGTCAAAGGCCTGCCTGAAAGAGACAATGAGGACACCAATTTGGCCAGACAGTACAAGTACTGTGCCAGCAAGAAATCCAAGCAGGTCATCAAAAAGAGGCGACTGGAGGTGCAGGAGGAAGTGAAAGATGTCACCTCAGAGGATTTTGCTGCCATGAGGACTGCCATGGCAGCAGGTCCTGCACAGAAGATGGCCACTTCAGGTGGCAAAGGGGGGAAGCCTGACACGCCCAAGCCAAAAGAACCAGAAGTTGTGGCTTACAAGCACCAAGCAAAGAAGCTCAAGCAACAGGTGACTTGCATTGGCAGTGAGTGTCACAGCCTGGATGTGTTGGTGACTTCCATTGAAGGCCAACCTGACTCTGAAATGAAGCCAGTTGCTTTGAAGCAGCTGAAGGCTTTGAAAGAGCAGATGGAAAAGAAGAAAGCAGAGTTCCTGGAAAGCAAATGGCTTTTCCCAAGGAAGTTGAGAAGGATGAGGCTGAGGAAAAGACTGGCCAAGTCGGTGAACTGGTAGCAGAAGTGGCGAAAGGAGCTTAGTGCGCACAAGAAAATGTCTTGAATTGCTTGCCTGCACAGGCTGGCCTGAGAAGGCCTATATATCTGACCATTTTCACAAGCTTGGACAGCTGCATGCGCATGGATGCCAAAAAAGTGTCAGCTTTGTCTTGGGGTTGCTTGTGTGTGAACAGAGTAAGCAATTCTTGGTAGCTGTTATTTCCACTCATTGCTGGGCATGCTTGAAGTGTGTGTGTGGCTCAAGGGGTTCTCAGGTGCTCAAAAAGTTTAGCAGGGAAGAGACTCCCACACGTCTTGCTGTGGTTTTGTCTATTCATGGCTGGCCTGGAACAGGCCATGGCTGGCCCAAAGTCTTCTTCCAAGAGAAAGCATGGTAGTTCTGAAAGTGAGGACGGGTTTTCATTTTCACTTTCTTTGTCTGCTTCAAACAAGATGCCAGGCACACTCTGCAAGAGAAACATTGAGAAAGCCCAGAAGGCAGGTGCCAAAGGTGTTCGACTGAAGGCCAAACCAGGGAAGCAAAATGCAGCAAGGACACTGAGGAGGGCATATCCCAAGACATGCTGGCCCAATCCTTATTGGGCCAAAATACCAATGCTCTGCACCAGAAGTCACAAATTCATAAAAGTTTGGCATTGCTTTCAACTACCCCATGAGTGGGTTGCAGAATTCTTGCACCATCCCAAAGCAGTGGAAGCCTGCAAGCCCAGGCCAACAAGTAAAATCAAAGTTGCCCTTGACAAGGTTCTGTCTTGCCTTGGCTGGCCTGAAGCAGGCCTCATCCCTTTGGGCTTGCATGGGGACGCTGTCCCCATTCAAGGAACCATTAGACAACAATCTTCAGACTTCCTGACATTGAACCTGCCATCTGCCAGGCAATTCTCAAACCTTAGGGTGCCCTTCACAGTTTTGAACACAAAGTTCCATGCAGGCTATCGAACCAAAGAAGCCATTCTCCAGGTCCTCATGTGGAGCTTTAGCAACCGACGTGATGGAACACCATGAGCAAAATCTGACAGAAAAAGGTCTGAGCTCAAGCGGGCTTTCCCTGGAAAAGGCATCTTGTGTGAGGTCAGGGGGGAGTGGGATTGGCTAAACAGTTGTTTCAACTTGCCAACATGGAACACAGGCTCTGGCATGCGTTGGCTCTGCAAAGCCAAATATTGTGATTTCAAGGGGCAATCGGCAGAATGCAGGAACGCTGGCCTGGGAAAGGCAGGGTTTTTGGCAAGGGTGAGGGCTATGGGGAAGCAGGTTTGCCCTTTGTGGGGCTGGCCTGAAATGGCCCCTGATGTGTTGATTTTGCCAGCTTGGCTTCATGCAGTTGACCATTGGTGCAGATATTGCTGGTCAGCTTTTGGTGGACTTGTCAAAGAAGCAATTGGGTGCAAATTTCTCAGAACAAGTGGCAAACCTTTGGTAAGAGATCCAGGCCTTATACAAGGAATACCATATTGAGTATTGCCGTCAACCTCACACCAGAGATATTGAACAAGAGCAAAAAGAACATGAACAAGAAAGCCACATTGAAAGGGCCTGCAGCCCATATCAGGCATCTAGCCCCTTTGCTTCCCATCCTCACAGCAAAATACTTCTCGCTCTCGCTATGAGCAGGCTTGCCACAAACTTGCTGTTTATTTGGCTAGGTCCTATGGTGCTATGGAATCCAATGATTTGGCTGAAATGCCTGAGCATGGGCGAAAGGTTGCTGGCCAGTATATCGCCCTGGAAAGGGATGCAGTAAGGAGAGAACCGGACACCAACACATGGAAGATAATGCCTAAATTCCATCAATACTTGCATTTGACAGAGTGTGGCTACCCCATTCAAGAGTTTTGGTGTTATGCCGACGAAGGTGCTGCTGTACAAAATTGGGGTGGGCGTGAGGGTCCAGGCACCCACTGTGCAAGGATGTTAGAAAGGTGGCAACAGCTCACAAAATTCTCAGCACTTCCACCTGTGGTCTGACAGACCTGGCCTGGGAAGGCCTCATTGACTTGGTTGCAGGGTTGTAGATGCTGACCTTCCTTGGAGTTGTGCGAGCTGTGGAAAAAGAAGCTGCAGTCCTATGCAAAGGTTTACCAACAATTTTTTAAGGCTGGTTTACCAGCTAAAAAAATTGGCTGGTACCAGCAAATTTTTTTGTCTGGCTACCAACCATTTTTAAAGCTGGTAGTATAGTTAACTTACAAAACACCACCAGCCAAAAAGTTTGGTTGCCAGCCCGTTTTCCAAATTACCAGCTACTTTTTTTGGCTTGCACCAGCCTTGTTTCTTAGCTGGCAGCTACAAATCAAGGCTGCCAGCTAAAAAAAAATGGCTGGTGACCAGCCAAGTTTTGTGGCTGGTTGGATCTGCAGGGCAGAGGGAAGAGAAAGGCATTTTTGGCAACACATTTTTCTCGTCACAAGGGTTGCTTGTTTTCAGTGGTAAAAAAAATAACAACTGCCTGGAACATCTTTTGAAAGCTGGCCCCATGCAATGCAAACTTAAAGGTGTCGCGCGAAGCTTGCAAAACTTTAAGGGGCAGCATCGTATCTTCGCTCAGCCACTCAGCAATGAACAAATCGTGGGCGCCCCGGGACGGAACATACATTTAGTTTTTTTAACCATTAGGAACCACGGAAGGACTGAAGGGTCTTGAGGGATTGGGAGGGAAGACGGTGCCGGAATGGATCGTCAGGCCCCAGGGGCTTTGCCCTGCTTCATGTCTAATTCAACGGAAACAGAAGTGTTGGCACTTGAAGGCAAATACACGTGGTAGCAGCTGCTGTCGAACTGTCGAAGCGGCAGAAGCAGACAGTAGGAGGAAGCAGAGTGGCAGTGGCTAGTGAGAAAGCATTAGCAGCTAGTGGTTGTAGTATGGTAGTAGTAGAAGCAGCAGCAGCAGCAGTAGTAGTAGTAGTAGCAGCAGTAGTAGCGAGTAGTAGTAGTAGGACAGGAGTAGTAGCAGCAGCAATAGTAGTAGCAGCTGCAGTAGCAATATACCAGGGGGTTGCACGAAGGGCGCGGACCTACCACAAAGTTAGTAGAGTGTGCTTTGGCATGTTTTGGCAAAACCCTTTCTGCCATTCTGCTTGTCTCCTCTCAGCTTTTGCCATTTCCTTGGCTGCAAATTTGTTGACCACTTCTGACTTGGCTGAAGAGGCTGTTCTGTACTTCAAGGCCTTTTTGCAGTCTTTCATGCCCTTGGTCACTGCAGCATTTGTCACCGCCAATCTTCCAAGATCCCACCTTGGATCAAGGACCGGATTTGCCCAGCTGAGGCCTCCATCTTGTGGGTTTGCAACAGGAGCTTGGACGTATGGTCAGAGGCAACAACCTGCATATTGACTGTGGCCGTGCTGACGAACCCTGTGTCCTCCTCTTGTCCTGCCTTCTTCGCCTTGTCCAGGCCTTGTCCCGGTCTGTCTCGTTGTCAGCCCTATTATCACCACCTTGTCCCCTGCTTGGCCACGCCGCTTTCCGTTTTCCACGGCTTTGTTCGGGTATGTTTGGGTGTTGCTATGAAGGCAACAATGATACAGCGCTTTGAATTTGATATCATCCTTGGAATTTCTCATGATGTATATATCCCCTCGTTTTTGCACATGTGACCCGGGAATCAGGAACTATTGCACTCAATCACTTTTGGTTTACATGCCGTTCCCAAACAGCTGGAGGCTAATATTATAGGCTTGACAAAAGGAATCCCCTCGCTCCTTTTTCACTCGAGAAACAAATGCCTGTGGTATGACATGGGTCATGGTGTTCTCACCACTCTCAACAGACTCCCCCATCTGTCGTTCAGACAGATCTAAACGGGAAAAGTAGGCTCAAGGCATTTCTCTACTTTCGGCCTTTTAGGCTCTGGCTCTTGAGCTTGTAGTATTCAGCTCGCATGGTCTCCATAGACCAACCACGCCCAGCATTGTTTCGCTGGAACTTGTTCCATGGGTTAGCAGGGGATGGCTCTCGTTTCTGGCCTCCTCTGTGGGATATTG